TGTCTAAGGGTTAAACTAAGGGTCCCTAGTAGAATGCGGATTGAGGAAAGAAATATTTTTATCCTGTTTTGCATACAAGCAAGCTTGACATTGCATATTCACAAAATCTTTATCATTTTTCAAAAACACTTTCGGAAGGAACATCTGCAATGACTTTTCTATGTAAGTCGTGGAAAGGCACACCTCCTTGTACCCGATTCAGCTTTAGGGATTTTCCTAATTCGCCAGAAATGAATCACTGCAGGCACTGAGAAAAGTTGAGGTCTGTAGCTCAAGCAGGATGTCAGAGAACTAGTTACTTGGCACTCATGGCTCCTGCTAAGCTGTAGAATTACTGTGGGTTCCATCACCAACAAGAGCGAAATGACTCAGCTTGGCTGACGGGTCACTACCCCCGCCCTCCTGGCCAAGTTGTCACTGGAGAACAGTCATTTACTCCATCAAGTGTGTCCACGTACCGCAAACAGCCAGACACACCTCTGCTGTGGCCACGCACAGACCTGATCACGGTCACCTTCAAACGTGGGTAGACAAGTCATTGTGATTTACTCGGTATTTACTCATCTTCTGGCAGCCAGTTCATGTGGGGACACTGATCGTCCACTTCAGGGCTGAGTCAATCCCAAGCTGGGTCTGAATAAATATAGATCGTTCCATCACGCCAAGGAAGTGGAAGTCCTCAAGGACTGCCGTGTAACACTGTCCCATCTGGCTTCACTCGCCTTCACCTGCGGTCACAGCCACACGAGAAATGCTGTCCAAGTTTTGCTGACAACAGTGGTCCAAGAACTGCTCATTTCACATACCCCGAGGGTCACAAAATAAGGTCGCCTTGCACACCCTGGGATCCCATATGGGTGTTGGTTCATACCCTGAAGGCCCCACTTCCCATCCAGCTTCCTGTTGTGGCCTGGGAAAGCAGTTGAGGACAGCCCGAAGCCTTGGGACCCTGCACGCACGCGGGAGTCCTGGAAGAGGTTCCTGGCTTCAGATCAGATCAGCTCTGGCCATTGCAGCCACTGGGAGAGTGAATCATTAAACAAAAGATCTTTCTATCTCTCTTCCTCTCTGTAAATCTGCCTTTCCAATAGAAATAAATAAGATCCTTAAAAAACATGCCAACTCTGTACCTTGTTCTGTTTGAAATGAGTGTAAATCAATTCAGATGAATTCAGTCCAGGGAAACATGTTTGGCTCTGAAGAACTAAATAATGGGCCCACGACATTCAAAACTCCTGGTTCAAGTTTGTCCAACTGAAAAAGATGATCAGGAACTCACCGCACACAGTATTGGCCTTCCCTTTTTGTGGCCCAATTATTGTCTTACATTCAGCTGTGTCCACTATGCCAAGATACACAACATGGCCCCACAGAGGGAAGCTGCCACATTTCTGGTTTGAGGCTTCTACTTTTGTGCTTCATAACAAGCACACTGGCTTCTATCACTGAGGGAATGACATAGTCATAAGATAAAGCCACCCAAAGACATTTTAGCAGCTTATTTTAATAGGAAATTTAGGTTTGTATTTTTCTCATTCATTCACTATGATTCTCCATTCACAAGTCTACTTTCCTGAGAGTGTATCCCCCATGAGCAAAGTGCCACACTCCTTTTTTATAAGTATTGTGGGAAAGAGAGTTAAACGATGCCAAGACATAGTTCATCCAAAGTCTTCCCAGATTCCATTACCCACTCCATTCCAAAGGGATGGAGGGATTTTTTTGTTTATCACACTTGAGCAGAATCCCTGAAACAAATCTGCAGCATCGCAACAATGTGAACGTGTAATCAGGGCAGCAGGGAAGTGGCATGGATTTGCCTAGATTCAGTACTCTTCAACTCTGTGTAGAAAGAGAAGAGGAAAGAGAACTGTCTCTGCCTTTGATACCTCGCACGGGATGGCATTTGACCATGACTCCTCATTGAACTCTCACCATGTCCAGTACCCACCAACACTGTGGGTTACCCTTCAACCTGTACAAGTGCCTGCCCTGTATCTTCTGCCTCTCACTTCCATGTTATCTGCTTCCACTTAGCTTCCAATCTGCATTGGCAATCAATCCCAATTGTTCAAATGCCAACCCGATTATATATTTGTATCCTATAGCAGGAAGTACAAATGTTCTGTATCAATTAGAACATTACAAACATTTAAGGAGGCAGAAATGTTAAGCATTCTGATCTGATTATTATCCATTGTATGCAAGGATCAGATTATCACATTATGCCCCACCAATGTAATTAAAATTTAAAAAATAATAATTGGAAAAAAGAAACCCAATTTGACCTTTTTCCAGTTGTGCAGTCAAAGGTTTATGCCTTTTTTCTCCTCGTTGCATTATCTGAAAAGATGAAATATATTTATCACAAGGAGGCTTTGGGGACAAGCAGCCTAGCGTGGTGCTTGGTGCTGGGTGCAGACCTAGTCTGCAGAGGTTTCTCCCCGCCCATCCCTTGCACCCAACCCCCAGCTCATCCTTCTGAAAAGAGCGCTCTGGTCCCCAGATTCCCTAACCCCTGGCTTTGAACATGAGAGCCAGCACAGGGGTCTGCTTAATATCTTATCTGAGGGTTTCCCAACCTTCCATTCATTATCACCCTCTGCCAATGGGGTCTTTGGAGATGAGGCGTCCCCACCTGCCCTTCCTCCTCCATCATGGCAGTTGAACTGCATGGATGTGCTGTTTATGGAATATCTGTGCACCACACATGAGGCTCCAGCATTCACCCCCTACAAGAAGCCAAGCTGATGATGAACCTGATCACAAGACACATAGCTCACAGGCAGATCAAGCCCGAGAATGGAGGCTGGCTCTAGCAAATGAGGCTATGCCACTCAAAATGCCAGCCCTGGGGAAGTGGTGAGCAGTCCTGAGGACAGAGTCCCGGAGAACCTAAGACTTCCTTACAAAGGCCTGCGGGAGCATGGAGGGAGTGAGAAGGCTGCCATCTTGCTGAGCAAGCCAGGAATTTAAAGCCCGCTGCGATTTACCAAGTCCACATGTCCAGGCTGTGCTTGGAATGAGCAACCTAGAAGGATGAAGCGCCACCCCCGAGGCCAAGGAGCAGGCTTGCTTAGTGGTTGCTATGATGCCATGGCACACTTCCCAGCTCAGTGTTTCTTTTCAGTGTGCCGAAATCCATCTGGGCTCATGGCACCACTGTGCGGAACGCAGATGAGAGGCAGGTAAGAGCAGGTGCCGGTCATGCTGAAAGTCTGAATCCTGCCAGCATCTGTGGAACGAGAAAAGCCGACTTGTTAGTCTCAAAGGAGGGTGACATCAAGTCACAAGTCCAGTGGTCCAGGTGTGGTGGGAAGACAAGAGCCCAAGGCCTGTCAATAGGTAGGAGACTATAGGAAGTAGAAACCAGAAGTGACAAAGGATGGATCCCATGCTGAGGTCACCCTGACAAGTCAAGGACTTCACATGAAGAAACAGGAGACCCTTTGGGAGGTTTTTCTGTGTCAGACTAGGATGTCAGAAAGAGCTCCTTGCTTTATGACTGGGATATAGTGGGAGGAAAGACATGGAGCCATAGTCCTGCAGCTGGTAACTGTTCTGGAGCAGAGGAAATTGTCCAGGAAGAAGGCGAGGTCAGAGGAGAGGGCGGTCTGGACCAGATCTTAGGAGGGCGGGGGGGGGCGGCACTGTGGTACAGTAGATTAAACCTCTGCCTGCAGTGCCAGCATCTCATATCGGCACCACTTGGTGTTCCAGCTGCCCCACTTCCAATCCACATTCTGCTTGTGGCCTGGGACAACAGCAGAGGATGACCCAAAGCCTTGGACCTCTGCACCTGCGAGGGAGACCTGGAAGAAGCGCCTGGCTCCTGGCTTCAGATCAGCTCAGTTCCTGCTATTGCAACCATTTGGGGAGTGAACCAGTGGATGGAAGATCTCTCTTTGTCTCCCCTTCTCTCTGTGGCTCTGCCTCTCAAATCAAAAAATAATTTTAAAAAAAAAGGGGGGGTGGTGGCGTGGCCTAGCAGCTAAAGTACTCACTTTGAATTCCCGGGATCCTATATGGACACCGGTTCTAATCCCGGCACCTCCACTTCCCATCCAGCTCCCTGTTTGTGGCCTGGGAAAGCAATGGAGGACAGCCCAAAGCCTTGGGACCCTGCACCTGTGTAGGATACCCGGAGGAAGTTCCTGGATCCTGGCTTTGGATTGGCATAGCATCAGCCATTACGCTCACTTGGGGAGTGAATCATTGGATGGAAGATCTTCCTCTCTGTCTCTCCTCCTCTCTGTATATCTGACTTTGTAATAAATAAATAAATCTTACAAAAAAACAAACATTTTTCTGGGAAAAAAAAAAAGGAGCACGTGAGGGAGGAAGAGTGGATCCCAGACAAGGAAAGAGGGTGAAAGGAGCCAGCTCCTTGTGTGGACCCTGGCAGGTGTGTCATGGATGAGCGAGAAAGGGTCAGGCCGTGAGAGCAGGCAGAAGCACTTGGAACCTTCTGGCCAAACGAGAAGAAAAGGTCCTGACTAGGAGGAAAGGAACGGAAGCAGATAGGGGACCTCCTCAAACAGGGACAGGTCCCCAAGTTGCTTCTCAACTCTGTGCGCCTACCTGAGGATTCAGCTAACACACCCACAGGTGTGAGGTGGTCAGTCACCTGGGACCAAGACAAAGGAAGAGAAAGGTTGTAGTTCCACATCCATCCCAGGGCTGCCTGGTGAGTTTTATAGCTCTCTTTCCCAGGTCGGCAAGCTGAGGCTGTCTTAGCGTGCCCAGCTCTCTGAGAGACTTCCACCAACTCAAGCTGAACTGTGCTGTGGCTGTGCCCCCTCCACCCAGGTGCACTGTCTCACTTTCTCACACCCTCTCCCCCTTAGAGCTCCCTAGGTCTGCCCGCCTGGGGTTCCAGTCCTCCAGGCTTGTCTATTCAGTCAGATGGCCTCCAGCTGTCAGCTGGTGAGCTTGCCTGTAGCAGCATCTAAACATAGTCGCCCTCACAGGAAACCAGACAGGATTGGCCAACTCTGCAAATAAAGATGCCCTCCCGGGGAGGGAAGGGGAAACACTTACTTCTCCTGGAGCCAGTGTGAGTCAGCACGGCTGATGGGCACATTTGGAGCTTCCCATCCATCCCAGGTAGGTTCCAAGCGCCCAGCAGAGGCACCTGTGGCCAGCGCGGAGTGGGGCAATGCAGCAGAGCTCAAAGGAGGGTAATGGTGTGGGTTCACTTTACCTGCCCACAGTACCAATTATTTTCTTTCTTTCTTTCTTTCTTTCTTTCTTTCTTTCTTTCTTTCTTTCTTTCTTTCTTTCTTTCTTTCTTTCTTTCTTTCTTTCTTTCTTTCTTTCTTTCTGTTTTTGGTGTTATAAACTTCTTTTCTTTTTAGATTTATTTTTATTGCAAAGTCAGATATACAGAGAGAGGGAGAGATAGAGAGGAAGATCTTCCATTCGATGATTCACTCCCCAAATGACCGCAACTGTCAGTGCTGCGCCAATCCAAAGTCAGAAGCCAGGAACTTCTTTCAGGTCTCCCACGCGGGTGCAGAGTCCCAAGGCTATGGGCTGTCCTCCACTGCTTTTCCAGGCCACAAGCAGGGAGCTGGGTGGGAAGTGGAGCTGCCAGGATTAGAACCGGCGTCCATATGGGATCCTGGTGCGTTCAAAGCGAGGACTTTAGCTGCTAGGCCACTGCGTTGAGCCCCACCAGTTGTTTTCTTGAGGGTGCTGCAATCTCCATGTGTCCAAGGGGATGGACGAGTGGGTCAATGAAGACCCATCCAGTGTGGCAGACTACAATTAGGAACAGAAATCATCACATTTTAGGGACATGGAGCAAAGCCCACCCTTTGATATTCATTGGAAAACACACCATATGAAGTTGCCTCGAGATGCTCTTGAAGAGTTGTTGCTAATTTTTAAAGGATGAAAGGTAGAGCTTAAGTTGTGTGTGTGTGTGTCCCCTCATCTTTTGGATACTCATGTTTGTTTACAGGTAGAGCTAAATAACCCAGCAAGACCATAAAGTGGGAAGTAGATGAAAAAGTGATCACCAGCTGCTAAAATGTTGAATCTAAGTCCTCTTCAATGCTTTCATACATGTTTGTAATTTTAATAATGAAGAATTCTTTAAATGGTATTTGCATTTTAAATATCAGCATAAATGGAAAATGTAAAGACTAATCGGAGAAAAGCTCACAGATGGTCTTGGCTCCTAGGAAGTCGGACTGTGGGGAGTTCTCTGGGTTTGTTTTGCTTTTCCTTTTTCTCCCGGGGTTTTTTGTGCCATCTACACTTTTTATAATGTGTGTCTGTTGTGTTTCTGATGAAGATGGTTTTAATTCATCACTGGCACAGATTCAGTGTTCCATTTTGATAAATGCTGCTGGAATTATCGTAAAGATGCCCAGGTTTATGTCCTTGGAAAATACAGTCTTGGGAAGCAAGTTAGGTGAGCGACACAGCGGGAAGAGGTGCGGAGCACTGGCTGCAGTTGGCTCACTCTTGGTACTTTCCTTGTACCTGGCCATGACAGCAGGAGACCTTAGGTAACACTTCAGCTGCATCCAGAGAGGAGCTAATGTAGGGTCCCTCTCCTCTAGCTCCCCCTCCCCTGACAAAATTTGTTTTTGCCTTCAGCTATTGGACACTGAAAACTTCAGGGAGGAAAAAAAAAAAGTGAACCAAAGGGAAGAGAATTGACCCATCCATGTCAAAGTAGGCAGGAAAGCCGCCTTTTTTGCTCTGACTTGGGGTGGGAGGGTCAGCGAGCGGCTGAGCCCTGCAGGACACCAGGAGTCAGGATGGAGGAGATAACTAGGATTCCTGGTAAAGAGAAATGGGCTCAAGATGGTCAGGGTGGATTCTTCGACCTTCTCTTGTACTTGACTTTATTTTAAGATTTACTTATTTGAAAGGCAGAGTGGGAAAGAGAGAGAAGGGGAGCTCTTTTATCCATTAGCCCAACCCCTTCTCAAATGGCCACAGACTAAGCCTGGCCAGATCCAGGAGCAAGGAATTCTGGGAACCAGCAGTCATGACTCAAATCACTGGGTTCCTGTCACACACCTGGGAGACCTGGGTTGGGTTCCCAGCTCCTGGGATGAGCCCTAGCCCTAGCCATTGCCAGTATTTGGAGAGTGATCCGATGGATGGAAGATTTTCTCTTTCTCTCAAAAACGGCATAAAGAAAATCTGGGCTCTTTTCAAATGAGGCAGCGAGGAATCCAGAGTTTAAGGGCCAGGAAGGAAAGACCATGTTAGAGAGAACCCACTTCAGGGCTGCCACCTCCTGTCCATGCCCAGGTCTGGCAGTGAGGGAAGCAGCAGTGTTGGGCACAGCCCTCCCAGACCCTGACCTTAGACGGCCTCCCTCCCAGGCTGCAGGGCACCTGGCAACACTGAGCCCAAGTCCAAAGGCCAGAGGTGTTCAGGACCAGCACCTGCACTAGATGAGCTAGATGGAAAGAGGAACTTGCGTGTCGTCCCCATGGCAGTCTTGAGAGACAGAAGAGCCCAGATGGCAGAGTCAGGATCTTAGCTGACTTGGTCAAGGTCCCATTCTGTGTCCCAGCAGGCAGTGCCACTAGGAATTCTGGCAGCCAGCATCTCAGGCCTTATGTTTGGGCAATCATCCCTGGGGTCTCTGCCTGCTACCTGGTGAGCATAGCTTGGAGCTTACCTGCCCTGGCCTGAGTCACAACTTCCTTCCCTGCTGGCGGAATGTGGCCTCTGACATGGAAGGTCAACGGGAATAGGCATGCCTTTCAGCCAACACAGTGTCATTATTCGTGGGTGGGTGGGGGGAACTGCCTGAAAATGTTCTCCTACCCTCCCCTTCCTTAACCTTTAAAACCTTGGAACTTGTGCTGAATAAACAGACATTCCTCCTTGACTGAAGAAAACAGGAATAAGTTCAGGTCAGGCCCCACTGATTCCACCCCTGTAGTGTGCTGGAGCCCCCTCCCTCTGGTCTGCGAGAGGGAGATTACCCCAGACTAGCCGCTATCATTCCTGTGGAACCCCTGGAATCTACCTGCTTTCTACCCCTGTGTGGAAAGAAGCTTCACCCTCTAATTGAGTCTCTGTGATAGAGAAATTCCACTCTTCTTTTCGGAGCCCCTAGCAGGCACTCTGCTGTAAATATATTGTTTCACTGTGGCCAGGAGGCAAACGAATTCAAGAGATTTGAAATTCGAAGTGCAGAGCCAAGCTGTCCATTTAAAAATCTGAATGGGAGGTGAGACCCCACTCGCTGGGAATTTGGCCAAGCGTGTCATTCTGAGGGCTATTTTCTGGCTGCCATTTTTACTAACTTGGTTGCTGGGGAACTTGGGGGGACAGTGCATGGCTAGTAGTGGACCACTGCCATGCCATTTCCACAGGTTTTTGCCACCATTTCCATTGTTTTCGAGTCCCCACCCTGCACTATCTCATGGAGCACCGCCCTCCACTCATACTGAGTCTACCAGCCCCTAGGGCTCTGTTCTGGCCAAGCAGGTTCTCTTGCAAGGCCCTAGGCTGTAACAAAGCTAGCTCCTCCCCGACTCCATGGGTGTTCTAAGCCTCCTCTGGAAGCATTCCCAGTCAATATGGCTATCTCTGGCCTGTGCCCTCACCAGTGGTATCCTATCTCCAGGAATCCTCAACCCTGAAGGAATTGCATGAGGCTGTCCAGAAAAATGGACCAGGTGTAACTTACACCAAGCAGCTACTTGAAAATATTGCAGTTAACCTCAGCTGCCCCCAAGACTGGAAGGACTTGGCGAGGGTGCCTTCATAACCTGCAGACTTTTTGAAATGAAGAATTTTTTCTTATGAGAGTGTGAACAGCAAGGGCTCATAACCAACAGGCTAATACCATTTGCACGTCACCGGCAAGCCTTCAGGGTGAGGGTCAGCGGGCGGACCTGCTCCCACAAGCAGCAGTTCTCAGAATGCTGGTTTTGTTAGCCTGGCTGCCTACTGCCAGCAGCTGTTCACTTTTGATTCATCCAGCCCTCCAATGTCTGACTCCAAATTTCCTGTTGCCTGGGTTATCCACTTCTTAAAATACTTTTATAAAATGAGGAAAAAGGAAAAAAGAAGATTAAAAAAAAAAAAAAAGGAACTACCTGCTGAAACTTGTTCTAGGGGCTTGCAAATTCTACCTTGGAAGGGCTTTTGTTGTGACAAATGTTTAGCAAGCAGTCTTCTATATAAAAGGTCCTCTACTCAAAAGGTGAAGGTAAAAACAAACAAAAACCTTGACTTTCTGTAATTTTTAAGATATGACAGAAAATAATTTGGTACAAAATTGAGCTCTAACCCACTGTAACAATTGCTTCAAGGTACCAGTTAAAGCAATATGCTACTTATTAATCTACAGAGTGTTTTATATATTAAGGCAATTTTTGTGCTTTTGGCAGTTCATCACGTTTCTCACTTTGGATTGATTAAGGTTATGTACTTGTTTTAAAGATGATTTTATGTCAATAACAGAGTCTAATCTATTTAGTGTTAAGAAACTATACTCTGTTAGATTTTTTAGCTCTCTTGGCATCCTTAGAAAGTATCCAAAAAACTCGAAGTTTCAAATTCTGGGGCTTTGGTGTTTCCAGTAAGGCTCCCCCTCCCCCACCAAGATCATGCTTCACTGGCTTTGCCCAGGAAAGCCATGCCAAAGCGGAGGCTTTAGCTGAACGTGGATACTACCTGGGGACTTAGATCCTGCTGGCTGCCATGAGGTAGGGGTGAGGGAATAGAATTTCCATAGAATTCTCAGTCACAGCCCATGGTTCAACCACATCATCTTCTTGGTTGGCCAAAGTGTGTTCATTTTGGAGTGTGAGTCCTGACAAGAAACAAACAAGAAAAAAGCCCGCATTAATCTCTTTATTTCTTTTTCCATCTCACCTTTGGCCTTTTCCTTAAACCCATGCTTACTGTGAAACAGAACACACTGAGTGTCCAGGTTAACAACTTACTAAAATACAAATCCCTTGAGAACACTATCATGGACCCAAACAGGGTCCTTGCCAACACCCAGGAGTCTCCTCCTTCCCCACAGTGACCACTGTGCTGATTTCCCTGGTGACAGAGCCTTTGTTTTTCTGTCATTAAACAGCCCATCTGCCCTGCCCTTGTTGGCTCTTCAC